AAAAAAAAAAAAAAAAAAAAGCGCTGTAAGTACTCCTTCAGCAATTTTGTTTGTTTTTCCATGAAGAGGAAAGACAGATTCCAGAGTTTAATTCCAAGTTTTAAAACAGCCTTGATTATAGCTACAAGCTCAAAAATCTGACAATCAATAATTGATAGTGGACAGTTAAGAATACTTAATAATATGCAACTGGGAAAATACTGACAGTATAGACAAATGGTGTGTATTTTGACAGTTTATGAACTTTTAGCCCTTTCCTGTATTTCTAGTGATATTTAGCACTACAATACATGCTTAAAACAAAATCTTGGAAAACAGGACTCAAAGGAAAAATAAAAAACACCTATAAACGTGCTTCAGAGAAAAAAGCCATTCTTAATGTTGTCATTCACAATTTTTGGTATTTATCTACGTCTTAGTTACCTGTTATTATCTTACCAAAATGTTAACAAACCAATGTATTATTCTACAGCCTGTGTTTTAACTTAATGAAGATTCTTCCAAGTCAACATTCTTCCTAATGATGTTTGACAGCTTGATACTAACCTATTATATAGCTATACCAAAATTTACTTATCTTGGGAATTTTGGTAGGATATTAACATTTGTGGTATTTTGAACATTCCCAAAGTCAAAGAAAGCGGTCAAGCCCCTTCCATTCATCCACACACAAACTCTTGTTTTAATCTGAAACACCTCTTCAAAACATATTTTTCCAATCTTTCATTTTGGAGCTCAAAATTAAATATGGGCAACCTGTAAGTAATAAAGCAAAAATTACGCTACTCTTTCACATGCACGAGTCCAATTTGCACTTTTTGAGGAAAAGTACACAGCCGAATGGGAGAAAAAAAAACACCTGAAATTATTCGTCGAGAGTCCTAGTGTGTTGGAAAATAAGTTAAAATGTTTTACTCCAATACACGCTTCTATAATTGTAAGAATTTCTATATCCACTATACCGTGTACTTATTTTTCAGAATTTTTTCTATATTTTTGCCACTCTTTCTGCCCCTTTAAATTAAAACTTCTCCCTTATTATAACAAAACTGTGCTTCCCCAAACCAAGAAATACACAGTTCCCAAAATCCCGGATTCTTTGCGGTGTTGAAATGAGAAGCTGAAATATCTGGCCTCTACTATAAATACAAGTCCCATTGATCAAAATACCCGGAAAAAATAAAGAAATCACTAACAGTTGGTGTCGAACCGTCAAGGAACAACAATAACAAAAAAGGAGGCCCTGAGCAACCAAGGAAATGAAGGACTTTCCCGACCTGTCACTGGTATTGGGGACTGAGGGAAACGTTGACAGCTTTGAAGCCGCCCCGCGAGAAGCGGGAAAGAGTGGCGCGGGGAGTTTCCGGGCCGTAGTACGCCTTTGTCCCTGCCGGCAGGTGCGACAGGGCTACCGGGCCTGTCCCGAGGCCCACCGCCGCGCCCCGCCCAACCCCGCGCGCCCGGCCCGACCGGCGCGTCTCTACACGGCCGGGGCGGGGCCTCCGCCGCGGCTCCCGCCCGCCCGGGCCCACACAAAGGCCCGGCAGCTGGTCGAGGGGGAGCGGCCCTACCCGCCCTGGGCCCGGCCTTACCCAGCCGCTCCGCCGCCTGCAGCCCCGGCCGCGGTCACTGACCGCCGCGCCCCGCCCCGTGGCCGCCACGGCTGCTGCTATAGCTCTTCCAGCCGCGGCCGCTGCCGTCGCTCCGGCACCCGCCGCCCTCACCTCCCTTACCCCTCCCGGTGCCGCCGTAAAACCAGCCCCGCCGCCGCCAAGCGATTCCTGCTCCGCGCGACACTGCGTGCGCGCGCACACAGAGAGGCGGTGACGCACTTTACGGCGATAACGTATGTACGTGACGCTTGTCGGTGGTCTCAGTTCACACGTGGCGCCAGAGGAGGCAGGTTGTCGTGCTTGTGTTACTTTCTACAACCAACATGAAGCGGCCTAGTAAGTGGGGTCGGAAGGCGGGCTTGGAGGGGCCCATGTCTGGTAGTTGCTGCAGCCACCACGACACTTTTCTACGGCTTGGTCTCTGCGGGCATGGAGGTCGGAGCCTGAGCGTAGGCCTTGCCCTGTTTTCTCGTAGAACCGTGTTGGAAGGCCCTACGCCGATCCTGTTAATCGCGCGGGCTTATTCTGCGGAAGGAAGCCTGGCGGAGGGTGGGCAAGACTAGGCTAGATTTTCGGAAGGAGGCAGCGTCTAAGCTAGGTTTCAGGCCCAGTATTTTCCCTTCCCTGGTCACGTGCATACTGGCCCAGGTGAGAGCTGAGAATCGCCTCCCAGACTCACTGTTCCTCTCCTGGATTCGTGCTGTTTGACACGAAGTGGTTGTCATTTTGGGTCTCATACGCTGCTGTATATGATTCCATTCTAATATTGTAAGAGTAGGTGCAGAGAACTTGGACTCCATTCTGGATCGACTGAATCAGATTCTCTGGGATTTGAGAGTGGACATGTATGTCTGTATTAGGCATTTCGCATTAGTCTTAACGTTAGCTTTGGCAGCCAATAACATTAAAAGATATAACTCCGTAGTGCGTTCACCCAGAACTAATCATTTGCATTAACACGTTTGTGATGTGATTTTTTTTTTTTTTTTGTAGAGTTAAAGAAAGCAAGTAAACGCATGACCTGCCATAAGCGGTATAAAATCCAAAAAAAGGTAAGTGTAGTGGCTGGGAGAGCTATACCAAACACATTGCTAAACTGATTTTGCTCTATTCATTTGCAAAGGGAAAGTCTGGGTTAACATGATTTGGTTTCAGGAAATGGCATTGGATAGACTGATCATGGTAGCTCTTAGGCATCAGAAGTGTAGCTGTGACAAAGTGCAGTGATTTGGTGATGAGTCTGTAAACTTGTTCAACATGTTAATTTCTGCATAGAGAGCCTTCTAATGACATTTTCTTGCCGTTTTCTACTTCCGTATGCATTACTCTGTAAGATTCCAATTAAAGCCCCATTTTCCTAGGCCATTTTATAGGCATAACTAAATTCCAGCTAGATTGGTTTCTCACTTGAATTCTGCTTAAGTATAAAGATATTTTTGTAAGCAGACAAAATCTCTTTATTATAATAGGTTCGAGAACATCATCGAAAATTAAGGAAGGAGGCTAAAAAGCGGGGTCACAAGAAGCCTAGGAAAGACCCAGGAGTTCCGAACAGTGCTCCCTTTAAGGAGGCTCTTCTTAGGGAAGCTGAGCTAAGGAAACAGCGGGTAAGTTATGTTAGCCAGAACTTTCAATGAGTGGGGTAGTGTGTTATGTGTGATGTTTTTCAGAGTAAGGTAACAACACTAGTCACTGATTCACCTATGTCTCTTATGACTCCAACACAGCTTGAAGAACTACAACAGCAGCAGAAACTTGACAGGCAGAAAGAACTAGAAAAGAAAAGACAACTTGAAACGAATCCTGATGTTAAGCCATCAAATGTGGAACCTATGGAAAAGGTATACTGATTAGGTCTTTATGAATGAGAGATGAGGGGTTTTGAGTTTGTTTTTGTTGCTTGGGCCTGACTGTAGTCGCACAATAACAGCTCACTGCAACCTTGACCACCCAGGCTCAAGCAGTCTTACCACCTCAGTCTCCGAGTACCTGAGACTACACAATCACACCTGGCTAATTTTTTTTAGTAGACACAGGCTTTCGCCATATTGCCCAGTCTAGTATCAAACTCTTGAGCTCAGGTTATCCACACATCTCTGCTTCCCAAAGTTTCTGATATTACAGGGGTGGGCTGTTGCACCTGGCCAAGAGATGAGATCTGATGAAGAAATAAAAGCGCATCCACAGGTTGCTGAACTTCTTGGGAGGAAGACAACTGAGTTCAGACTTTGTCTTACATATTTAACAACTGCAAGTGCCGCTTCTCAGCTGTAGAAAAATGGAGATACAGGTTACAACTGCTGTACTTCTAATTTTGTGTCCCTCCCCCTCTTTATCTTCTAGGAGTTGGGGCTTTGCAAGACTGAGAACAAAGCCAAGTCAGGCAAACAGAAGTCAAAGAAGTTGTATTGTCAAGAACTTAAAAAGGTATCTTAGCCTAGGTCAATGTCTGACAGTGGTAATGAGGTTAAAAAGACTGAAGTCATTTTTTTTTTTTTAACCTTTTAAGATCAAGGGTATGTGTGCAGCCAGGTTTATATGGATAAACTTGTGTCATGGGGGTTTGTTGTACAGATTACTTCATCACCCAGGTATTAAGCCTAGTACCCATTAGTTACCTTTCCTGATCTCTCCCTCCTCCCACAAATCATTTCATTACTCCACTCCAGCTTGTCCTGTTTAATGCCTTTCCTGCTGTGTTTAGCTGACAGAAATAGTTTCTAAATATTTGCACAAAACCGGTTCTGCTCGTAAGCATGATTTACAAAAGTGGTACTTTGTGTTGGAAAAAAAAAATGTTGGCATAGTATTGAGATTGAGAAAAGTACATTGGAATATGAGGTGTCAGGTTAAGGGTCTCTAAAGTACTCTATTGAAACCTAAGTGAAAGAAGGCAAGAAGGTGGTATCTCCTTGTTGTAGTTGCTCTCCAGCACTCCGATTCCCAACATCCATTTTCCCAAGCTCAATCCCCTGTGGATAGAACCTGACTGCCACTCAACAGCTATTGGCAAGGCCAAAAGGACCTATCAAACTACATAATTCACTATGGGAGGATTTGGTCAGTTAGAGATATTTTCATTTTTGAAATCCATCTTGATCAGAGGCTGCTGAGCAAGCCTCTGTTTTACTTTCCTGTGTGAGAAATGATGAGGATCAACATTCTTCTTACCAAAGTGAAGACATGAGATCCAACTCTGAGCTCACCCTGTTGTCAAATGGATAATGCCAATACACTCTTGTTGAAGGTATTACCAGAGCAAGGGATGTAGTTCTAGTCATTTTTTCCTTGATAGGTGATTGAAGCCTCAGATGTTGTCCTAGAGGTGTTGGATGCCAGAGATCCTCTTGGTTGCAGATGTCCTCAGGTAGAAGAGGCCATTGTCCAGAGTGGACAGAAAAAGCTCGTACTTATATTAAATAAATCAGGTGAGTAAAGAGCGTACCCTTTGTCTTCCACGTACATTGGTGAGGTATGAGGAAAACATCTGAACAGTCTGATTGTCACTGAAGACTGATTAGATCCAACTCTGACCTCAGCAGAGCCAGGGTATGTGCACTTTGTTTGCCAGAGACAGTGCTGGGCAGCGGGGAAGAAGTGATTTTTACAACTGACTCAACTGGTTTCTACTGTTCTTTTGCCATTCAGTATTTACCATCTTTTAAAATAAGAGTGTATGCTTCTCTACCCAGCTTATTGTGTAGTATATTTCATCTAGGGAGTGATGACAGTATGCCAAATTCCCCACACCTACATAATGTCGAGTAGTTCAGGAGTGAGATAAATTGGAATGTATGTGACAAAATATTTAAATGAAATGCATAATTATGCATCTGAGTTTGAGAAGCAGGAACAGGAAAACCCAAAACAGAATTACAAAGCAGAAAATGGGAATGAGATCCAAAATTATTGTTGGGGTTAAGAACAGCTGGCTGCTTGGGAGGCCAAAGCTTGCGGCCAGGTCGAGAAAAGCCTGGCCAACATGGTGAAACCCCATCTCTACTAAAATACAGAAATAAGATGGGCATGGTGGCAGGCGCCTATAGTCCCAGCTACTGGGGAGGCTGAGGCAGGAAAATTGCTTGAACCCAGGAGGCGGAGGTTGCAGTTAGCTGAGATCACGCCACTGCACTCCAGCCTGGGCAACAGAGTGAGACTCCATCTCAAAAAATAATAAATGATAAACAATTGGCTGCTAGCTAAAGGTAAATTCTGGAAACATAGCTCTAGGGTTATTAGGGTTGTAATCCAGATGTTGAGTCTGTCCTGAAAGAGTGAGCAATTAAAGGGGAATTGAAACAGAGAAGTGTAGATGCTGAGCTCTGTAAAGATAGAGGCAGCATGGTAGGGGAGCTTACCCTCCCTGATTTTCTAGTTAAATCCTTTTGAAAAGATGCGAAAATGTAAACCAGAGTAAAATCTTTAGTTCCCAGATTTTGCAAATGCATCTCAACAAAATAGCCAAATTGGAGCACATGTCTGATTTCTACTTCCTATCAGATCTGGTACCAAAGGAGAATTTGGAGAGCTGGCTAAATTATTTGAAGAAAGAATTGCCAACAGTAGTGTTCAGAGCCTCAACAAAACAGAAGGATAAAGGGAAGATAACCAAGGTACTTTTACTAGTAGTAAGAAATGTGGTTCTTTCAGACTGAGTGGTTGAAAAATGATGAGTATATAAAATCTTGATTTAAATAAGTGAAAAATTACAAGATCCAACTCTGACTTCAGCCAGAGATCATCTGAAAGGCAATGTAGTTACTTGAAGAGTTGGGCTCTGGAGCCTGACTGCTTGGGGTGTGTTGAAATAATTTATCAGGTAAGTTGTCAGA